ATTTTTTTCTGTACTAAGTAAAAATGTTTATCATGCAGTTTCAAATTTTTTTTATAATATTTTACCAAAAAATATTTTAATTATTTACAAAATACATAATTGTATTAACTTATTAGTTCTATTTCTTGTGCGTTAACATTCTCTTGTTTCATACAATACGTGAGTTTTCATGTGATTTAATACAACGCTCAATTTTGTTAACAAACAACACAAAAACAAGTTATTTTTATATCAGTATGAATGTTGTCAATGCCAAATGTTATTTTAACCAAAACAGCATATGTTTTTTTATTTTTAATAATAAACAGTATTAAATACGTAATATAATGTATAATATACAATTTTGGGAAATAACAGTAACAACAAATCCGGTTTGTGTATAAGAATTGCAGTTTTTAAAATTAGTTTGAATCATCTCGTTTTGTGTTTTTATTTACTTAAATAAAATTAACACTACGCTGGAATAACATTTTGTTTAACTTTCTAAAAATATAAATATTATTTCTTTTTATTTTTATTTCCTCTTTTAGGTAGTATTTTTAACTAATTTCTTATTATTTTTCTTATAGAAATAATTTGTCTGATTCTCTTTGTTTTTTATTTCTATTATTTTTTGCCATTCGCGGTTATCGTCTAGTGTTGTAGATTTTTTTCTCACATTTTAAACCACAATCGAGTTTTTTGTGCGTCTTTGTCTTCATCATCATCATCATCAACAGCAACATAATCATCTCCAACGTATTTACCAAAAGTCAATTTGTATTGTATTCAATTAATAAATACTTGAGTATTTTTCTCAATATTTGGCTTGTTTTATAGTTTGTTGAACTGAGTTTTTAACAAAATTATCAGATTTAAACAAAAATGTAATTGTTTAAAATCTTTTTAAAGTTTATAAGACAAAACAACAAGTTTCTGTCGTTTAAAAGTATTTATAATAAAATAACATCTTATCTCATTAAACTATGATTTTCATCTGTTGACATTTCCTACAATAAATTAAGTAATATAAATCAGTTTTATAATCAAAATAGGTTGTGAACAAGAATACAAAATTTCAATCAAATAGTAATATGAACTTATGATGATATTTTATTGTTGAGTAATGTGTTTGTAATTATAAACACAATAACATTTCTAAAATTGTGTCATGGTTTGCGTTGATTTATATTTTTGGTCGTTATATTTCCATTTTAATAAGGTTATTTATTTTTTTAACGAAACAGTACAAATATATTTTAAATAAAAGTATTTAAAAAACAACAATTATTAGGTCATCTTTATCATCAACATTCATACCATATTTCAAAAACATTATGATTATTTAAAAATTTTGTGTTAATTTTCATTTACAAGAGAAATATTTAAATTCGTGTATTATTTCCATATAATAACATACAACATATTTAGTACAAAAAGCTATTTATAAATTTGTTGGTAAACATATGTATATCATGGGAAATGAACATCTTTATTTTTCCAACGGATTAGTGTATAGAGTAACGTAAACGTAAAGGTGTTGGTTGTTTCTATTTCAAATAAAAAGAAAAATAAAACACCACATACTACATATAACAAATAGTAGTAATGCAAAGAAGGAGGTATGAAAGAAAAAATGAAGCATGTGTGTAAAAAATAGAACAACATTTACAGTGAATGTAAAAGACATGAAATATATAGCTTCCCAACAACAGTATGGTCATGGTCATTAGAAATGTGGGTGGACGGTGAAGTTTATGATAATAAGCAATTAGTGAATTCCAAATATGATATCTTTGGTATATGCGAAAATCAATATGACGATCTGAACTAGAACTAAACTAGAACTGAACTAGAACTAAATAGAACTGAACTAGAACTGAACTAGAAGAACTAGAACTGAACTAGAACTGAACTAGAACTGAACTAGAACTGAACTAGAACTGAACTAGAACTGAACTAGAACTGAACTAGAACTGAACTAGAACTGAACTAGATCTGAACTAGAACTGAACTAGAACTCAACTAGAACTCAACTAGAACTCAACTAAAACTCAACTAGAACTGAACTAGAACTGAACCAGAACTGAACTAGAACTGAACTAGAACTGAACTAGAACTGAACTAGAACTGAACTAGAACTGAACTAGAACTGAACTAGAACTGAACTAGAACTGAACTAGAACTGAACTGAACTGAACTAGAACTGAACTAGAACTGAACTAGAACTGAACTAGAACTGAACTAGAACTGAACTAGAACTGAACTAGAACTGAACTAGAACTGAACTAGAACTGAACTAGAACTGAACTAGAACTGAACTAGAACTGAACTAGAACTGAACTAGAACTGAACTAGAACTGAACTAGAACTGAACTAGAACTGAACTAGAACTGAACTAGAACTGAACTAGAACTGAACTAGAACTGAACTAGAACTGAACTAGAACTGAACTAGAACTGAACTAGAACTGAACTAGAACTGAACTAGAACTGAACTAGAACTGAACTAGAACTGAACTAGAACTGAACTAGAACTGAACTAGAACTGAACTAGAATGAACTAGAACTGAACTAGAACTGAACTAGAACTGAACTAAACTGAACTAGAACTGAACTAGAACTGAACTAGAACTGAACTAGAACTGAACTAGAACTGAACTAGAACTGAACTAGAACTGAACTAGAACTGAACTAGAACTGAACTGAACTAGAACTGAACTAGAACTGAACTAGAACTGAACTAGAACTGAACTAGAACTGAACTAGAACTGAACTAGAACTGAACTAGAACTGAACTAGAACTGAACTAGAACTGAACTAGAACTGAACTAGAACTGAACTAGAACTGAAAGAACTAGAACTGAACTAGAACTGAACTAGAACTGAACTAGAACTGAACTAGAACTGAACTAGAACTGAACTAGAACTGAACTAGAACTGAACTAGAACTGAACTAGAACTGAACTAGAACTGAACTAGAACTGAACTAGAACTGAACTAGAACTGAACTAGAACTGAACTAGAACTGAACTAGAACTAAACTAGAACTGAACTAGAACTGAACTAGAACTGAACTAGAACTGAACTAGAACTGAACTAGAACTGAACTAGAACTGAACTAGAACTGAACTAGAACTGAACTAGAACTGAACTAGAACTGAACTAGAACTGAACTAGAACTGAACTAGAACTGAACTAGAACTGAACTAGAACTGAACTAGAACTGAACTAGAACTGAACTAGAACTGAACTAGAACTGAACTAGAACTGAACTAGAACTGAACTAGAACTGAACTAGAACTGAACTAGAACTGAACTAGAACTGAACTAGAACTGAACTAGAATGAACTAGAACTGAACTGAACTAGAACTGAACTAGAACTGAACTAGAACTGAACTAGAACTGAACTAGAACTGAACTAGAACTGAACTAGAACTGAACTAGAACTGAACTAGAACTGAACTAGAACTGAACTAGAACTGAACTAGAACTGAACTAAACTGAACTGAACTGAACTAGAACTGAACTGAACTAGAACTGAACTAGAACTGAACTAGAACTGAACTAGAACTGAACTAGAACTGAACTAGAACTGAACTAGAACTGAACTAGAACTGAACTAGAACTGAACTAGAACTGAACTAGAACTGAACTAGAACTGAACTAGAAGAACTAGAACTGAACTAGAACTGAACTAGAACTGAACTAGAACTGAACTAGAACTGAACTAGAACTGAACTAGAACTGAACTAGAACTGAACTAGAACTGAACTAGAACTGAACTAGAACTGAACTAGAATGAACTAGAACTGAACTAGAACTGAACTAGAACTGAACTAGAACTGAACTAGAACTGAACTAGAACTGAACTAGAACTGAACTAGAACTGAACTAGAACTGAACTAGAACTGAACTAGAACTGAACTAGAACTGAACTAGAACTGAACTAGAACTGAACTAGAACTGAACTGAACTAGAACTGAACTAGAACTGAACTAGAATGAACTAGAACTGAACTAGAACTGAACTAGAACTGAACTAGAACTGAACTAGAACTGAACTAGAACTCAACTAGAACTCAACTAGAACTCAACTAGAAATTAACTGTTAAGCACAAACAATTTTGCTGTGAATCAATTAATATGACTTTGAAAAAGTGTACATTTTAATCGATATTTAAACAAATAATGTTCATGTTATCAAATTGTTTCTATAAAAAAAAAATCTCATAATAAATTGATTTTAAATGAATTATTAAAACAAATTCAATAAAATTCACATACATATACTTAAAAAACGTTTAGATTTCATTAAAAGACGCACGATTAGCAAATTAACATGATGTTCTAAGTAAAAGTAAATTGCCTTAACAGCAACTATGTTTTATTTCCCAGTTTATCTACAAATATTAAAACTTAATATCTGTATTTTTTCCAAAATGAACTGCAGCTCATCTTTTACGCCTTTGTTTAACACGATTTTCTTGATAAATTTAATAACACAAAAGTGTAGAACTTGAGTTGACACATTTCTAAATAAACAATGAATGTCTATCAAGAACTAAATGCTGAATAGACAATAAATGTCGTTTCACTTACAATTTATCTAAAAACGAAATTAAAAATAATAATCATTTGAAACGAAAAAACGCTTTGTCTTATCAAACAACCAACTATTACGAGTACTCTACTCGAGTGTATGGGTGAGATAATTTGTTTTTTAATTTTGTTTTTCCATATTTATAACTGGCTGAGTTGGTTGGTTGGTTGGTGGATGGTGGTGAATGTTGTGTGTGAAGTTTGTGAAAATGTTGAAAATCCAATATAGTAGATATTGAAATTTAATAACACAACATTTTTAGATACTATTGATTTTCATTTTCATTTACAGGGTAATTTGGCTTTCATTTCACTTTAACTTTTCTTTATTTAATGACAACATAATTTTGTGTACATTTTTTTATATTAATTTTGTTATATATGTATATCTTCTTTTTCTTTTCTCTGTTTATTATATAGACATTTTCTTGCAGAAAACAAATAAAGTATGAGCACATCGATAACCAGCAGTAGTAATTTAACTGACACGACGTTAAATGTCACTACAACCGTCATACCCACAACAACAATTGCAAGTGCTTTGGTAAATACTACAACAACATCATCAGTTAAATTGAATTTTATGCCACAAATGTCCGCCGCTGCCGCGCCCATCGATCCTTTAAGCCATGTGGGTGATGGTATATTTCTACAGACAAAACCGCTCAAGGTTTAGCTGGTATATTCGTTTGGGCAGCTTTGTTTATCACATGCCAACAGGTTGGTGTTTTATTGATTTTTTGTTCTTTTCTATTTTGGATCTTATTATTTTGTTTATTTGTATTTCAATTTTCTTGATTTAATTTACAGATTTATCAACATTTACGTTGGTATACAAATCCCCAAGAGCAACGTTGGATTGTACGAATTTTGTTTATTGTACCCATATATGCAACATATTCCTGGATAAGTTTATTATTTTTTAATTCTGACAATGTATATGTGTACTTTTTCACCGTACGAGATTGTTATGAAGGTATGTTTAAAATAAATTATTTTTTTTTTAGAGAGAACACGTGTTTTGATGGAGATTTATCAGTCACAATCATTAGAGTTCTAGTGCTCAGTTCTAGTTCAGTTCTAGTTTGGTTCTAGTTCAGTTCTAGTTCTAGTTTGGTTCTAGTTCAGTTCTAGTTCAGTTCTAGTTCAGTTCTAGTTCAGTTCTAGCTCAGTTCTAGTTCAGTTCTAGTTCAGTTCTAGTTCAGTTCTAGTTCAGTTCTAGTTCAGTCTAGTTCAGTTCTAGTTCAGTTCTAGTTCAGTTCTAGTCAGTTCTAGTCGTCTAGTCAGTTCTAGTTCAGTTCTAGTTCAGTTCTAGTTCAGTTCTAGTTCAGTTCTAGTTCAGTTCTAGTTCAGTTCTAGTTCAGTTCTAGCTCAGTTCTAGTTCAGTTCTAGTTCAGTTCTAGTTCAGTTCTAGTTCAGTTCTAGTTCAGTTCTAGTTCAGTTCTAGCTCAGTTCTAGTTCAGTTCTAGTTTAGTTCAGTTCTAGTTCAGTTCTAGTTCAGTTCTAGTTCAGTTTCTAGTTCAGTTCTAGTTCAGTTCTAGTTCAGTTCTAGTTCAGTTCTAGTTCAGTTCTAGTTCAGTTCTAGTTCAGTCTAGTTCAGTTCTAGTTCAGTTCTAGTTCAGTTCTAGTTCAGTTCTAGTTCAGTTCTAGTTCAGTTCTAGTTCAGTTCTAGTTCAGTTCTTGTCAGTTCTAGTTCAGTTCTAGTTCAGTTCTAGTTCAGTTCTAGTTCAGTTCTAGTTCAGTTCTAGTTCAGTTCTAGTTCAGTTCTAGTGCAGTTCTAGTTCAGTTCTAGTTCAGTTCTAGTTCAGTTCTAGTTCAGTTCTAGTTCAGTTCTAGTTCAGTTCTAGTTCTAGTTCAGTTCTAGTTCAGTTCTAGTTCAGTTCTTGTTCAGTTCTAGTTCAGTTCTAGTTCAGTTCTAGTTCAGTTCTAGTTCAGTTCTAGTTCAGTTCTAGTTCAGTTCTTGTTCAGTTCTATTTCAGTTTTAGTTTATTTAAAATTAAAACTTTAAACCTTTTGTCTTTTTAGCTTTTGTCATTTACAATTTCCTTTCGCTATGCTATGAATATCTGGGTGGTGAAGGCAATATAATGTCTGAAATTCGTGGCAAACCTATTAAGACATCTTGCCTTTATGGTACATGTTGTTTAAAGGGTAAAACCTATACAATAGGATTTTTACGTTTCTGTAAACAGGCCACCTTACAATTCTGTTTGGTTAAACCATTGGTTGCATTCATTATTATATTTTTGCAAGTATTCGGACATTATCATGATGGCGATTGGAGGTAATTAAACTTATCAGCATCAAATAAAGGTAATAACAAATAATGACTTGTGTTTTTCTTTTCTAATATAGATCCGATGGCGGTTATATTTATATTACTCTCATTTATAACATTTCGGTTTCATTGGCGTTATACGGTTTATATTTGTTTTATTTTGCCACCCGTGATTTATTAACACCCTTCGAACCTGTGTTGAAATTCTGTACCATCAAATCGGTGATTTTCTTATCATTTTGGCAGGGTAAGTATGATGAATCATTAAATAAATACCAAATAATTGTAAGTATTTTTATATATCTATTTTTTTGCGAAACAGGTGTTGGTTTGGCTATTTTGGAAAAGGCAAAAGTTATTTCACCAATTGTTGACAACGCTGGCACTGTTACTTCGGCTGGTACCGTATCGGCTGGTTATCAGAATTTCTTTATTTGTATTGAAATGTTATTTGCTGCAATTGCTTTACGTTATGCCTTTCCTTATCAGGTAAGAAATAAAACAATTTTTGTATGTAGTTTAGTTTTAATTGTTTTCTGTTAAAGTTTGCATTTTTATTGATTTACAAATACATTTGCTATTTGTTATTTTTATGATAAGTTTTTATCTCTTCTAGAAATAATTTTATTTTATAAAAAATAAAATATGATTTATAAATAAATCATATTACTTATGACGTTGATTTTAAATATTTATTAGTGGGAGAAAAAATTAATAAAAAGAGAATTGTTTATATTTTTTAATTTAATAGCTAACAATATTAATTATACTTTTCATTTTAGGTTTACGCCCGCAGTTGTATTGGCGACGGGCATGGTCGTTCAGTAACCATGCAATCAATTTCCAGCAGTCTTAAAGTATATCATAACTTAAAACAAGTGCAATATAACTAATAAAACTAATTTTATGTTTTTTCTATCCCTATAGGAAACCATGAATCCTAAAGATATTATGACAGATGCTATACACAATTTCCATCCACAGTATCAACAATACACTCAATATAGTTCCGGTAAGTTAAAACTCGTTTTTGTTTTATAAATGTGGTGAATATGTCTTATATTAAGACTAGCTTTTTCTGCTATAAATTACGCTTTTCTTTTTAAATGTTTTTAATTTTGAGTTAGTCTGTTTAGAGCATGATTTTTAGGTGATATAATTAACAATTTTTTAGAAACTTATTACTAAAACACGCTCATGATTAGTTGTATCTTTATAATGCATTATTTACTTTAACACATTATTGTTTTTGTTTAAAACATTTTTGTTTACTAAATTCATATTTATTTTTTTTTTGTAAATTTTAATTTTTTCTCTGGTATTATTTGCTTAATATGTTGCGTTTTATTAACCATTTTGTTTTCACTATTCATTATTATTTGTTCATTAACAAAATATTTAAAAACATAATAAATTATGAGATTAAATTAGATATAATGTTTTAGAAGTATTATTATTTCATTATTAATTGTACATATATTATAATACTATTATTATTACTAGTTATTTAAACCAAACAATTCATGTAGATATTTCATTAACATTCTGCTGAAAACAACACAATCAGTTCTAGTTCAGTTCTAGTTCAGCTCTAGTTCAGTTCTAGTTCAGTTCTAGTTCAGTTCTAGTTCAGTTCTAGTTCAGTTCTAGTTCAGTTCAGTCTAGTTCAGTTCTAGTTCAGTTTTCGTCAGTTTCTAGTTCAGTTCAGTTCAGTAGTTCAGGTCAGTTCAGTTCTAGTTCAGTTCTAGTTTCAGTTCTAGTTCAGTTCTAGTTCAGTTCTAGTTCAGTTCTAGTTCAGTTCTAGTTCAGTTTCTAGTTCAGTTCTAGTTCAGCTCTAGTTCAGCTCTAGTTCAGTTCTAGTTCAGTTCTAGTTCAGTTCTAGTTCAGTTCTAGTTTCAGTTCTAGTTCAGCTTCTAGTTCAGCTCTAGTTCAGTTCTAGTTCAGTTCTAGTTAGTCAGTTCTAGTTCAGTTCTAGTTCAGTTCTAGTTCAGTTCTAGTTCAGTTCTAGCTTCAGTTCTAGTTCAGTTCTAGTTTCAGTTCTAGTTCAGTTCTAGTTCAGTTCTAGTTCAGTTCTAGTTCAGTTCTAGTTCAGTTCTAGTTCAGTTCTAGTTCAGTTCTAGTTCAGTTCTAGTTCAGTTCTAGTTCAGTTCTAGTTCAGTTCTAGTTCAGTTCTAGTTCAGTTGTTCAGTTCAGTTCTAGTTCAGTTCTAGTTCAGTTCTAGTTCAGTTCTAGTTCAGTTCTAGTCAGTTCTAGTTCAGTTCAGTTTCAGTTCTAGTTCAGTTCTAGTTCAGTTCTAGTTCAGTTCTATTCAGTTCTAGTTCAGTTCTAGTTCAGTTCTAGTTCAGTTCTAGTTCAGTTCTAGTTCAGTTCTAGTTCAGTTCTAGTTCAGTTCTAGTTCAGTTCTAGTTCAGTTCTAGTTCCGTTCTTAGTTCAGTTCTAGTTCAGTTCTAGTGTTCAGTTCTAGTTCAGTTTAGTTCAGTTCTAGTTCCAGTTTCTAGTTCAGTTCTAGTTCAGTTCTAGTTCAGTTCTAGTTCAGTTCTATTCAGTTTTTCTAGTTTCAGTTCTAGTTCAAGTTCTAGTTCAGTTCTAGTTCAGTTCTAGTCAGTTCTAGTGCAGTTCTAGTCATTTCTAGTTCAGTTCTAGTTCAGTTCTAGTCAGTTCTAGTTCAGTTCTAGTTCAGTTCTAGTCAGTTCTAGTTCAGTTCTAGTTCAGTTCTATTCAGTTCTAGTTCAGTTCTAGTTCAGTTCTAGTTCAGTTCTAGTTCAGTTCTAGTTCAGTTCTAGTTCAGTTCTAGTTCAGTTCTAGTTCAGTTCTAGTTCAGTTCTAGTTCAGTTCTAGTTCTTCTAGTTCTAGTTCAGTTCTAGTTCAGTTCTAGTTCAGTTCTAGTTCAGTTCTAGTTCAGTTCTAGTTCAGTTCTAGTTCAGTTCTAGTTCAGTTCTAGTTCAGTTCAGTTCTAGTTCAGTTCTAGTTCAGTTCTAGTTCAGTTCTAGTTCAGTTCTAGTTCAGTTCTAGTTCAGTTCTAGTTCAGTTCTAGTTCAGTTCTAGTTCAGTTCTAGTTCAGTTCTAGTTCAGTTCTAGTTCAGTTCTAGTTCAGTTCTAGTTCAGTTCTAGTTCAGTTCTAGTTCAGTTCTAGTTCAGTTCTAGTTTAGTTCTAGTTCAGTTCTAGTTCAGTTCTAGTTCAGTTCTAGTTCAGTTCTAGTTCAGTTCTAGTTCAGTTCTAGTTCAGTTCTAGTTCAGTTCTAGTTCAGTTCTAGTTCAGTTCTAGTTCAGTTCTAGTTCAGTTCTAGTTCAGTTCTAGTTCAGTTCTAGTTCAGTTCTAGTTCAGTTCTAGTTCAGTTTCTAGTTCAGTTCTAGTTCAGTTCTAGTTCAGTTCTAGTTCAGTTCTAGTTCAGTTCTAGTTCAGTTCTAGTTCAGTTCTAGTTCAGTTCTAGTTCAGTTCTAGTCAGTTCTAGTTCAGTTTCTAGTTTCAGTTCTAGTTCAGTTCTAGTTCAGTTCTAGTTCAGTTCTAGTTCAGTTCTAGTTCAGTTCTAGTTCAGTTCTAGTTCAGTTCTAGTTCAGTTCTAGTTCAGTTCTAGTTCAGTTCTAGTTCAGTTCTAGTTCAGTTCTAGTTCAGTTCTAGTTCAGTTCTAGTTCAGTTCTAGTTCAGTTTTAGTTCAGTTCTAGTTCAGTTCTAGTTCAGTTTAGTTCAGTTTAGTTCAGTTCTAGTTCAGTTCGTTCAGTTCTAGTTCAGTTCTAGTTCAGTTCTGGTTCAGTTCTGGTTCAGTTCTAGTTCAGTTTTAGTTCAGTTCTAGTTCAGGTCTAGTTCAGTTCTAGTTCAGTTCTCGTATAGTTCTAGTTCAGTTCTAGTTAAGTTTTAGTTCAGCTCTAGTTTAGTTCTAATTAAGTTATGGTTTGGTTTGGTTCTGGTTCAGTTCTGGTTCAGTTCTGGTTCAGTTCTAGTTCAGTTTTAGTTTCGTTCTACATCAGTTCTGTTGCATTTCAGAATACAATTTTTAAATTTATTGCGGTACTAACAAATGTATTTTATTTACTTTACAAAAATGTAAAAAAGAGCCTTATGAGTATATTCGAAATTCAGTTCTAGTTCAGTTCTAGTTCAGTTCTAGTTCAGTTCTAGTTCAGTTTCTAGTTCAGTTCTAGTTCAGTTCTAGTTCAGTTCTAGTTCAGTTCTAGTTCAGTTCTAGTTCAGTTCTAGTTCAGTTCTAGTTCAGTTCTAGTTCAGTTCTAGTTCAGTTCTAGTTCAGTTCAGTTCTAGTTCAGTTCTAGTTCAGTTCTAGTTCAGTTCTAGTTCAGTTCTAGTTCAGTTCTAGTTCAGTTCTAGTTCAGTTCTAGTTCAGTTCTAGTTCAGTTCTAGTTCAGTTCTAGTTCAGTTCTAGTTCAGTTCTAGTTCAGTTCTAGTTCAGTTCTAGTTCAGTTCTAGTTCAGTTCTAGTTCAGTTCTAGTTCAGTTTCTAGTTCAGTTCTAGTTCAGTTCTAGTTCAGGTTCTAGTTCAGTTTCTAGTTCAGTTCTAGTTCAGTTCTAGTTCAGTTCTAGTTCAGTTCTAGTTCAGTTCTAGTTCAGTTCTAGTTCAGTTCTAGTTCAGTTCTATTTCAGTTCTAGTTCAGTTCCATTTCAGTTCTAGTTCTAGTTTAGTTCTAGTTCAGTTCTAGTTCAGTTCTAGTTCAGTTCTAGTTCAGTTCTAGTTCAGTTCTAGTTCAGTTCTAGTTCAGTTCTAGTTCAGTTCTAGTTCAGTTCTAGTTCAGTCTAGTTCGGTCTAGTTCAGTCTAGTTCAGTTCTAGTTCAGTTCTAGTTCAGTTCTAGTTCAGTTCTAGTTCAGTTCTAGTTCAGTTCTAGTTCAGTTCTAGTTCAGTTCTAGTTCAGTCTAGTTCAGTTCTAGTTCAGTTTTAGTTCAGTTTTAGTTCAGTTCTAGTTCAGTTCTAGTTCAGTTCTAGTTTAGTTTTAGTTCAGTTCTAGTTCAGTTCTAGTTCAGTTCTAGTTCAGTTCTAGTTCAGTTCTAGTTCAGTTCTGGTTCAGTTCTGGTTCAGTTCTAGTTCAGTTTTAGTTCAGTTCTAGTTCAGGTCTAGTTCAGTTCTAGTTCAGTTCTCGTATAGTTCTAGTTCAGTTCTAGTTAAGTTTTAGTTCAGCTCTAGTTTAGTTCTAATTAAGTTATGGTTTGGTTTGGTTCTGGTTCAGTTCTAGTTCAGTTTTAGTTTCGTTCTACATCAGTTCTGTTGCATTTCAGAATACAATTTTTAAATTTATTGCGGTACTAACAAATGTATTTTATTTACTTTACAAAAATGTAAAAAAGAGCCTTATGAGTATATTCGAAATTAATAATTTTTTTCTTTTGAATTTCTAAGATATGTGTATGTATATTCCTAGCAAAAAATGTTTGGAAAAAGATGTAGTATTTTCATCACAACTAGTAACCGGAAGTGGTTTAAATATGGGTGAAAAACCTATGAATTTTACATTAGCGTGTCATTGAAGAGATGTTGTACATATAATCTTATTTTTAGAAGCAGTAAAAATCCGATATTTGGATGTCAAAAATAAATCAAATTCTTTCAATGACACGGATATGTAAATTACATTGGTTTTTCACCAAAATTTGAAGTATGTACTTCCAATATGTTATTTGTAATGTCTTTTCTACATCTCTTTTCTCACTTTTAACTGTGTTTTCATTTGTGAGGATATGTTTGGTTTATAAAAGCAAAAAATATGTAATCGCATTATTAGATGTGATTAAGATGTCGTTTGTAAACTATGACATCAATTATTTTTTTGCTGGGTTGTTCATACTGTATAATCAAAAGTATTATTTAAACAATCTCAAGTTTTGTATATTTTGTTCTTATTTATTATTTGTATTTCATTGGTATTTGGTTTTAAACATAAAAATTTGTATTATTTATTATTTTAACATTTATATTATTCTCTCAAGACCCCTTACACTGTTCTCCGTCTTTACTTTTTAGTGTCACTTTATAATCAATCTCATTATACTTATGTAAACTCTAATAAAAATCAAACTTATTTAAGTAAAAACTAAAACATTCTCATTATAACCAACTCACATATGTAACTCATCTAAAGGCTTTTGGCATTGCAATTACATATTACAATTCGCTAATTGAAATAATTGAATATTTTTCGTTTTTTTTTTCAAACTTTACAGAAGTAACTTCATCTCAACGTTATGAAAAACTTTAAATTATACTAAATTTAACATAATTTAATTGATAAACAACAACAAAACTTGTTTAAAATTGCTTTCAAAATTATAAAAGAAACATTTGCTTAAAATACAAACGAAATTCATAAAAGACAATTAATAATTCTTTAAGTTAATTATATTAAAAAACTATTACAATTAGTATAAAATACAATATTAAATTAAGTTTTATTACAAACAAAAAAACAGAAAAAAATAAGAAAATTACAAAAAACCAACACTACCATAGTTGCCTTTAAACAAAGCCTATTTAATAACGTTATTAAAAGAGCTTAGAAATTTTACCCACAAAACCTTTATTAAAGTAGTCTTTTTAGCAAAAATATGTTAAAGAATAACATCTTTAGCCGGGCTGGTTACTTAATTAATATTGTCTTAAGATTTCTTTGACCTTTTACAAAGTATTACTCATGTTTGTTTATCTGAAAATAAAATAGGACTGATTTGTTACCTTTATTAAACAAACAATGAATTTGTTGTTCTTTAAACGGTTTTAAAAAAGGTCGTCTTAGAAATGTTATAAATATTATTTTTATTTTATTTATGTATAATTTCTTCTACTTAATGCATTTGATATGTATTTATTTTACGATTTTTAAATAACGAAAACAAATTTTATGATTTTGGCTTTATTTTATATTTTCTATATACAATTTATAAACAAACTATGTTTCCCAAACTATAATGTACTTAATTTACGTGATACCTTTAAAATAAATCTATAAAAATCTATACATAAATATGTTTTTTTTTTATTTTTTTAACTAAAATATATTATTTTTTTAATTATTATTTTTGTGATTTCTTCTATAACTATTTTTCAAATGTGTACCTTTTTTTATAATAAATTGTAAAATATATATTTTTTTCATTTCATTTTAATAATTTTAAGTTTTTATAATAAATTTTCAATGGATTTTGTTTATATAGTTTATATATTTTATTATAAAATCAACAACCAACAAAACAAATATTACAATAATTACTTTACAAATTATTGCCCTAATTTAGAGCCTAATTTTTATAAAACGTTTTTTTTTACTTGGAAATAATATATGACATTTGCTAGATAATTAATTATCCCGCTTTATCATTAATATAAAATTGTTTTCAAGTTTTTTAAAACGTTTACGAAACCAAAGGCATTTATTTTAATTGATATTGAAATAAAATTTATTTTTTATCTTTATAATTATAAGTTGTAAAGTTAAAAACAAACTAGAAAACAAAAAACACAGAAACATAACGCATAATGAAGTAACACTGAATCTTCGCTTTTAAGACTTTTAACTTTTAAAATTTTTAATATTGAATATATAAAACAAACAAATTGAAACAATTCAAGTTGTTTTTTTTTTAATAATACTTTTAAACGTTGTTTCAGTGTTTGTACATTATTTTTTATTTTAATTATAATGTTTTTTAGGTTTCTTTCTGTTTTTTTTTTGTTTTTATTTTAATTGATTTCCATTTGATGTTTTCATGGGCATGTTATGTGCAGTTACAATTTTGTCTTTTTCGTTTATTCTAAGCATGTTTTACTATCTTTTAAGGATTTTAAAATTTAAAAACTTATATTTTTTTAAATATATTAATACATATTTTGCTCCTCTAACGAAAACTCTAAGGAATTACTTTTTCTATTCCAGTTATAGTCCAATTGTAGTTTAGTTCCAATTCAGTTCTAGTTCAGTTCTAGTTCAGTTCTAGTTCAGTTCTAGTTCAGTTCTAGTTCTAGTTCAGTTCTAGTTCAGTTCTAGTTCAGTTCTAGTTCAGTTCTAGTTCAGTTCTAGTTCAGTTCTAGTTCAGTTCTAGTTCAGTTCTAGTTCAGTTCTAGTTCAGTTCTAGTTCAGTTCTAGTTCATTTCTAGTTCATTTCTAGTCAGTTCTAGTTCAGTTCTAGTTCAGTTCTAGTTCAGTTCTAGTTCAGTTCTAGTTCAGTTCTAGTTCAGTTCTAGTTCAGTTCTAGTTCAGTTCTAGTTCAGTTCTAGTTCAGTTCTAGTTCAGTTCTAGTTCAGTTCTAGTTCAGTTCTAGTTCAGTTCTAGTTCAGTTCTAGTTCAGTTCTAGTTCAGTTCTAGTTCAGTTCTAGTTCAGTTCTAGTTCAGTTCTAGTTCAGTAGTCTAGTTCAGATCTAGTTCAGTTCTAGTTCAGTTCTCTCAGTTCTAGTTCAGTTCTAGTTCAGTTCTAGTTCAGTTCTAGTTCAGTTCTAGTTAGTTCTAGTTCAGTTCTAGTTCAGTTCTAGTTCAGTTCTAGTTCAGTTCTAGTTCAGTTCTAGTTCAGTTCTCGTTCAGTTCTAGTTCAGTTCTCGTTCCAGTTCTAGTTCAGTTCTAGTTCAGTTATAGTTCAGTTCTAGTTCAGTTCTAGTTCAGTTCTAGTTCAGTTCTAGTCAGTTCTAGTTCAGTTCTAGTTCAGTTCTAGTTCAGTTCTAGTTCAGTTCTAGTTCAGTTCTAGTTCAGTTCTAGTTCAGTTCTAGTTCAGTTTCTAGTTCAGTTCTAGTTCAGTTTCGTAGTTCAGTTCTAGTTCAGTTTTAGTCAGTTCTAGTTCAGTTCTAGTTCAGTTCTAGTTCTGTTCTAGTTCAGTTCTAGTTCTGTTCTAGTTCAGTTCTAGTTCAGTTCTATTTCTGTTCTAGTTCTGTTCTAGTTCAGTTCTAGTTCAGTTCTAGTTCAGTTCTAGTACAGTTCGAGTTCAGTTCTAGTTCAGTTCAGTTCTAGTTCAGTTCTAGTTCAGTTCTAGTTCAGTTCTAGTTCAGTTCTAGTTCAGTTCTAGTTCACTCATAGTTCAGTTATAGTTCAGTTATAGTTCAGTTATAGTTCAGTTCTAGTTCAGTTCTAGTTCAGTTCTAGTTCAGTTCTAGTTCAGTTCTAGGTCAGTTCTAGTTCAGTTCTAGTTCAGTTCTAGTTCAGTTCTAGTTCAGTTCTAGTTCAGTTCTAGTTCAGTTCTAGTTCAGTTCTAGTAGTTCAGTTCTAGTTCAGTTCTAGTTCTAGTTCAGTTCTAGTTCAGTTCTAGTTCAGTTCTAGTTCAGTTCTAGTTCAGTTCTAGTTCAGTTCTAGTTCAGTTCTAGTTCAGTTCTAGTTCAGTTCTAGTTCAGTTCTAGTTCAGTTCTAGTTCAGTTCTAGTTCAGTTCTAGTTCAGTTCTAGTTCAGTTCTAGTTCAGTTCTAGTTCAGTTCTAGTTCAGTTCTAGTTCAGTTCTAGTTCAGTTCTAGTTCTAGTTCAGTTCTAGTTCAGTTCTAGTTCAGTTCTAGTTCAGTTCTAGTTCAGTTCTAGTTCAGTTCTAGTTCAGTTCTAGTTCAGTTCTAGTTCAGTTCTAGTACAGCTCTAGTTCAGTTCTAGTTCTTTTTTAGATCAGCATTAATTCTAGTTTAGCTTAGTTTTAGTTCAGTTCTAGTTTAGTTCTAGTTCAGTTCTAGTGTATTTCTTGTTCAGTTCGAGTCCAGTTCAACGACATATCGTGACGAGATTTAGTTCTAGTTCAATTCTGGATTAGTTATAGTCCAGTCCTAGCTAAGTTCTTGTCGAGATCTAGTTAAATTTTGTTTCGCTTGTTTTTTAGTTCAAATTCAGTTCTTGCTCAGTTCGAATTCTGTTTCACGACTTTTCTTAACGGGATTTAGTTTAGTTCTAGTTAAATTGTAATTAAGTTCAAGTTCAGTTATAATTTAATTCTATTTCTTTTCTAGTTAAGTTCTGTTCTAATTCCGTTCTAGGTCTAGAACAGTTCTTGTTTAGTTCTTGTTCAGTTCATGTAGTGGTCTAGTTTAGTTCTAGGTCAATTCTGGTTCAGTTTTAGTTCAGCTTTAGTTCAATTAGTGTTCAGTTATAGTTCCTAGTCTGACTGGTTTTCGACTTCGGAAATAAACGAACATACATACTTTCAGACTTGTACATATTTTTGTTAAAAGGTTTCTTTCTTTGTTTTTTTTTTAATAAAAAAACTTTGTTTTTTTAACCCTCAAAGTATGCTTCATATCTTTCAACAACAATGGTTTTCTATTGCTCGTATCAAATGGAATGAATTTCTCTTAATACACAGTTTGAGCATGTTTTTTTCCTCTTTTTATTTTTTCAATTTGTTCTCTTATAATTTGCTGAATGTTTTATGTACTTCATGTAATTAGTTAATAAGAACAAAAGAAATGTATAAACAAAAACCCCCTTTGTAAATAGGTAAAAATTCCCGAGGCATACGTGTATCATCATATGATCCCGACGATGTTAGTAACAGCAACCAGGGTAATGTAAATGCCAGCCTAACACAGGGTAGTCAAAATTCCACACTGGGTTGTATGGCGTCGAAGACATTGGGCAACCAGCGTAAATTTATGCCCGGCGGTCAAAGGGTGGCCACAATAAGTCAAAATTATAATGAAAAATCCATGTTGTTAAGCAGTGATGATGAGTATCAGTAAGATTTTTTGAGATTGTTTTTATTTATTAAAAATAATATTTATACATATAGAAATGAATATTATCTTAAATAGAAAAGAATCATGATGATAGAAATCATTGTTATTATAAAAAATATCTAATTTGTAAGTATAAATAAATATGTTAAAGTTTTTAAGTTTTTGATTTTTTTCTTTTCGGATTATTTAAGAATAATTTATCATTATATTAAAACTTTTTAAGGCTTTTGCTATAAGTAATTAACACTTTTTTATGCCACATAGATACTTTTTTTGAATAAAAAGGAAACCAAACAATTTTTCATAGACAATAGCTCTCTTTATAAACAAGTTTACTTATAATTAGCATTTTTACTTAACTTAAGGAAATAATTACCATAAAATGAAATAAAAGTATACAAATAGTAATATTAAGGGCCGGTGGGCTTTGAGATTAATGAAAATATAAAAAAAATAATATTTTGAAATAAGTACAAAAAAAGAATAAAATATTTAATAAATTAACAACTTTTAATAAATTTTTATTTAGTATTTTATAAAATATATAAATAAACAAAAAAATATCTGTCTATAAAATCCGGCCATACATATATGCAGTTTATGAACTTTGCGAACACATTTTTTTTAAAGAATAATTTGGGTTGCAAACTATATAAAATAATGAAAAATGTTATTCGAATATAAAATTTGTTTAGTTCTACTTCAGTATTAGTTCAGTTCTACAACAAATTTAGTTCAGTTCTGGTTAAATGTTAGTGCAGTTCTAGTTCTGAACTTAGATTCTATTTTAGGTCAAGTTCAGTTAGATCAGTTCATTTAGATCAGTTCAGTTCTACTTCAAGTTCAGTTCTAGTAAAGTTTTACTTAAGTTCTGGTTTAGTTCTAGTTCTAGATCAATAGTGCAGTTATATTTCAGTTCTAGTTTAGTTCTAGTTCTAGATCAATAGTGCAGTTATATTTCAGTTCTAGTTTAGTTCTAGTTCAGTTCTAGTTCAGTTCTAGTTCAGTTCTAGTTCAGTTCTAGTTCAGTTCTAGTTCAGTTCTAGTTTAGTTCAGTTCTAGTTCAGTTCTAGTTCAGTTCTAGTTTAGTTCTAGTTCAGTTCTAGTTCAGTTCTAGTTCAGTTCTAGTTTAGTTATAGTTTAGTTATAGTTCAGTTCTAGTTCAGTTCTAGTTCAGTTCTAGTTCAATTCTAGTTCAGTTCAAGTTCAGTTCTAGTTCAGTTCTAGTTCAGTTCTAGTTCAGTTCTAGTTCAGTTCTAGTTCAGTTCTAGTTCAGTTCTAGTTCAGTTCTAGTTCAGTTCTAGTTCAGTTCTAGTTCAGTTTCTAGTTCAGTTCTAGTTCAGTTCTAGTTCAGTTCTAGTTCAGTTCTAGTTCAGTTCTAGTTCAGTTCTAGTTCAGTTCTAGTTCAGTTCTAGTTCAGTTCAAGTTTCAGTTCTAGTTCAGTTCTGGTTCAGTTCTAGTTCTAGTTCTAGTTCAGTCTAGTTCAGTTCTAGTTCAGTTCATAGTTTCAGTTCTAGTTCAGTTCTAGTTCAGTTCTAGTTCAGTTCTAGTTCAGTTCTAGTTCAGTTCTAGTTCAGTTCTAGTTCAGTTCTAGTTCAGTTCTAGTTCAGTTCTAGTTCAGTTCTAGTTCAGTTCTAGTTCAGTTCTAGTTCAGTTCTAGTTCAGTTCTAGTTCAGTTCTAGTTCAGTTCTAGTTCAGTTCTAGTTCAGTTCTAGTTCAGTTCTAGTTCAGTTCTAGTTCAGTTCTAGTTCAGTTCTAGTTCAGTTCTAGTTCAGTTCTAGTTCAGTTCTAGTTCAGTTCTAGTTCAGTTCTAGTTCAGTTCTAGTTCAGTTCTAGTTCAGTTCTAGTTCAGTTCTAGTTCTAGTTCAGTTTTAGTTCAGTTCTAGTTCAGTTCTAGTTCAGTTCTAGTTCAGTTCTAGTTCAGTTCTAGTTCAGTTCTAGTTCAGTTCTAGTTCAGTTCTAGTTCAGTTCTAGTCCAGTTCTAGTTCAGTTTTATTTCAGTTCTAGTTAAGTTCTAGTTCAGTTCTATTTCACTTCTAGTTCAGTTTTACTTCAGTTCTAGTACAGTTCAATTTCAGTTCTAGTTAAGTTCTAGTTCAGTTCTAGTTCTAGTTCAGTTTTACTTCAGTTCTAGTTCTTTAGTTTTTTTATAGATCATTTGTAGTTCAGTTCGGTTCTAGTTTAGTTCCAGTTCTATGTCTGTTCTCGATCAGTTCTAGTTCAGTTCCAGTTCAGTTCTAGATCAGTTCTAGTTCAGTTCTGGTTTAGTTCTAGTTCATTTTTAGATCAGTTTCAGTTCATTTTTAGTTCAGTTATAGGTTACATCGAGATCAGTTCTAGTTCTACTTTAGTTCTAGTTCAAGTTCAATTCTAGTTCAGTAGTAATTCATATCTAGTTTAGTTCTAGTTCTTTTTCCGTTCTAGTTAAGTTCTAGTTCCGTTCTAGTTCAGTTCTAGTTATGTTCTAATTCAGTTCTTGTTCAGTTGTAGTTCAATTTTGGTTCATTTCTAGTTTTAGATCAGTTCTAGTTTAGTTTTAGATCCGTTCTAGTTCAGTTCTAGATCTGTTCTACTTCTGTTTCAGGTTAAGCATACTTCATCATTAGTTTTTAATAAACAAGTTTTTTTTTTTCGAATAACAAATAACAACAACATTTAGAAAAGGAACTGAATATCATCTGATAACATTTTCTTTAATAACATAAACATACAATAAACCGTGCCCAACTGCCGTCAAAAACTTAAACTATTTTTGCTGGCTTTTTTTCAAATGCACAAAATAAAAAATATTAAAAATTTTACTTATTATATTATTTTAGTTTACATATTTATAGAAAAAATACAATAACAAATAAAAAAATATTTAGTTTTAAAAATGTAGATTGGTCTATATTTTTTTAAAATTTAAAATCTTAATGTATGCTTTCCATATTTACAAAAAACACACACACACAAACAAAGAAAATTAAATCATTTAATTAGTAATTAAATTTCAAAAACTACACAATTTTAACGAATTTGACAAATTTGAAAATCTAAACGAAACTCTATTAAAAAGGAAATTAAATAAAAAGAAAATAAATTAAAAGCAAAAGTACTTGAACAAAAACTTTGAGGCATATTGTTATTTTAGAATTTTATATGTTAGATGTGGTATGTGTGTATGTGGTGCATGTTGTGCATTAAAAAAATAATACCAGAATAAAATGAAATTGTGTAAAAACAAAAGTTATAATCACACATCAAAATAAAAGTAATTGAAGTCAACTATAAAGAAAAATTCTAAATTTTTATAAATATTAAAAAAATAAATTCAATAAAAACCACATATATGAATGTAAACTATTGTAAATTAATTATATAAAAAAAATATATATAAAAAAACAACAACCATAAAATTCCTGTGTAAAATTTATAAATAAATTAAAAATAATTTTACTTTAAAATCAAGAAAATATAAAACAAAACTGGAATAAAAATTATAAATCCACAATAATGAATGTTTATTTCCTTATTTAATACAAAATTTCGGTTTAATGAAATTGTATTTTAATATAAGTAAGTAAATAATGCATTATAAAGTCTTCAAAAAGTACCGTTTGAGGAATGAACGTTTTTTAGGTTCATCAGGCTACAGCAACACATAGAGTACCACATATACACATGGGTCTAAAGTTCACTTTGTATTTACCTGTAAAAAAATAGAGGCGAGAAAGGAGGGAAAAGATATAGATAATTTCAGAGAAAAATAAAAGACACGACCAAATAAGTTGGACAGTGAAACCATAGGATGGAAGTGTATGAAGAAATAGTTATGTTTTTTACATCCCTGATTAAGAGTGATGCGTTTAAAAACGTAATAATATGCTCTAATTGATCATAGATGAGGCCTATTTTCTTATCTATTTTCTATCTGATCAGAAGTTTTTTCACGTTCCACACAATCACATAGAAGATGTGCTACCGTTTCTTTATTCTGACAGCTCCTATATAAGTCATTATTTGGGTCCAATATACGTCAAAGTACAATGACCTGATATCAAGATACTTAACTGTGACCTTTGAAGGCCTATAAGATAGGATGAGCATACTAGACCATAAAGATCTTGTAATAGCGCTTGTGGGCCCATGTTACCATTGTTCTTCAATAAATCATATTTACAAAATACATATATTTCTTGATGGCAAGAAGTGCAACACATTTTGGATTCATCTGTGTAAACATAGAAGCATTAAAGGGGCTGGAGTAATACTCCATTGAGATGAGATACTGGAAGGTAACCGGATACTCTAGTCAATGACATAATAGGGGTTGGGAAAGCTAGCATGACCTCTAGAATATAAATTCCATTTGCCAATGACACATAACCGCAGAGCACATTGCTAGTTGCCTAGCCGTAATATCTACCGGAAGCCAATTTAGCAGAACAAACAGAGCCTTGGAGGGAGTTGTACTCATTGCACCAGTAATAAGAAGAGCGAAAAGAGGCCTATTGAAGGATTTGTCCAGTGCTTGCCACCAAACCAACATTCCATAGAACATATTCGCCTCCTCCTCAATCATTTCACATTCTGAGGATTTATAAACCACGTCTATAATCCTTCTATAGGTACATATAAAGTCGTCATGGGTTTTGAAGACATTCATTCTTCAAGACAATTTCCTATCAAGAATAACAACTAGATACTTGGCGCTCACCGTTATGACGAGAAAGAGAGAATGATGGAGTTTTGTTCTTTCTAGAGAACAGTACAAGTGCCATTAAATCAAGATTAATACTAAGAACGCATTCTATGCTCCATGAGCTAATGATCTTTAGAGGTACTTCCAGCCATTGTGATAGAGTTTCAAGGTGATCTGTATAGGCAACCGTTTTGAAACCAAGAAAGTCTATTCTTACAAGAAGACCATCAATGGCCTTATTCCACAAGATCGAGGGGAATACACCACCCTGAGAAGTACTTTCAATCTAGTGTCTCCCAAGACATGGGAGATAGATTGCAATAAAATCAGTACCAGATTTATCAAGTCCAATACTAGATAGGGCAAGGAAAAGACAAGACGATTTCACATTATTAAAATGTGAGATTCAATATCTAGAAAGGCAACCAGAACAAAATCGCCATAGCTCATGGTTCTTTCAATATACCCCACCAG